CCACACTCACACCCACACCCACACTCACACCCACACTCACACCCACACCCACACCCCACACCCCACATCCACCCACACCCTTATAACGTTCAATTTGTCCATTTGTCATCGGGTGATAAGGTGTAGAATATAAATGTGTAACACCAATTTTCTTGAATAATTCAGATATCATTGAGGCGGTAAAATGAGTACCGTTATCTGTAAGAATACATTTTGGAGTTTCATATTTAAGAATAACATCTTCCATAATAAAATGTGCTGCCGTTGTTGCGGTGCAATCGCGTACTGCTTTAGTAATAACAAATTTTGATAATACATCCGTTAATGTAATAATATATTTATTGCCTTGTCTTGTTGTTGGTGTAATTGGTCCATGAAAGTCCATTGTCAATAATTGCCAGATTCCTTCTGGTGGTTTAATTGGTTTTAATGCACCGGATGGTTTTCGACGTGTATGATTATTTTGTAAACATGGAATACACGATTTAATGTGGTTTTGTATATCTGCCACCATATTTGGCCAAAAGTATCGCTGTTGGATCTCGTGAATAGCTCTATCTCGACAAAAATGTGCACCATTTGCTGGTGTATCATGGTAAATCTTTATTATGTCGGGGCGTATCCGCCCCTTAGGTACAAATGGTACTTGAGGAAGTGACTTTGTCATCATCATATATTTCGTTTGCTCATCTTGATGTTGTAATTCTCTTAATTGTTCATATGTAAACGGTATAATTCGATTCTGCATCGTGTTCATTGGTTGTTGTTCACGGTTCCGAACACAGGAACGGTCGATTAATGGATCGACATTCCTCTTGGATTATTGTTCATTGCAGGAACGATCATTCAATCGACGATCATTCCTCTCATTCTGTTGTTGCTGTTTTGCTTGTGCTCGAGTAATGACAGATGCTATAACTGGTTTGATTGTATCATATTCTGTTTGTGTTGCTCGGGATTTTGTTGGAACATAATCATCTTCATCGTTTGATGCATTGTCTGCAGGTGAACGAGATAAGTAATCTGCTACTGTATTATGTTTTCCTTTGATATATCGTATAGTAAATTGATATTGTTGTAATTTCAAACGCCATCGTTCACATTTCGAATTTAATTGTTTTTTCATGTTAAATGGTAATAATGGTTTATGATCCGTTTCAATTATAAATGAACGTCCATCTAAATATTTGTGCCATTTTTCAATTGCAAATATAATAGCATAGCATTCTTGTTCTGTTGCAGGCCAGTTCATTTGTGTTGTTGTAAGTTTCTTCGATAACTATGCAATTGGTAAGTCTCCATTTGGATGAATCTGCATAAGAACAGCTCCTATCCCGATTTTTGATGCATCAGTTTGAATCTTAAATGGCAGGTTTTCATCTGGAATACGTAGTACCAGGTCATTTGTTAATATTCGTTTCAATTCATTAAATGCATTAAGTTCTTCATCGGATAGAGTAATAGGTGTAGATTGCGATTTTTGTGATCGTTGTTCTTTTGTAGTCGGTGCATATTTATGTAATGATTGAGCAATAATAGAAAATCTTGGAATGAATTTACGATAATATTCTGCTGCTTTGACAAATCGAAAAATTTCTTTTGCTGTTATGGGTTGTACAGTTTCTAATAATGCACGAATATTTTCTGCATTTGGTCTAATGTTGCCATGTTCAATACGATGACCAAGATAATCGATTGACGTCTTAGCTATATGACATTTGTTAACATTGAGACGAAAATTTGCATCATTTAATCGATTAAGAATATCATCGAGATGAATTAAATGTTGGTCGAAAGTTGGTGAATATATAATAACATCATCAAGATAAGCTAATAAATGTTGCCATCTCGTAGGTCCAAGTATCTGGCTAACGATGCGTTGAAATGCTGGTGGACCATTAGTAACACCTTGAGGTAATACCGTGAATTGATAATGTTGATCTCGAGTTGAAAATGCTGTTTTCGGACGATCTTTCAGATCGAGTCCAACTTGAAAGTAACCCGATTTAAAATCAATTGTAGTATAATATTCAGCTTGAGATAAGTGATCAAAAATATCATCAATTCGAGGTATCGGAAATGCATCTTTTGTGGTAACGTTGTTTAGTTTTCGAAAATCTACACAAAATCTAACTGTTCCATCTTTCTTGCGGACTAATACTATAGGCGATGACCATGGAGATGTAGATTCTTCAATTATTCCTTGTTTTAATAACTTATTTATTTCGTCACGTTGTATTTGTTCATCTTTATATGATACACGGTATGGTGGTGTATAAATTGGTGGATGATTGCCTGTTTCAATGGCATTTTGAGCTGTTGCTTTAATGATAGATGGTTGATGAAGATCAAATAATTTTCCATGCTTCCATAGAATTTGTTGTAATTGTTGTTTGTGATTCAAGTCCTTAATATGTGATGTTAATTGTTCAATTTGGTCTCGTATATTTTGTGGATAACATTCGTGACGTAAATGTTGTTGTAAATCATTCCGGGTTAAAAATTGTTCTTGACAAACATAACATTGATGTTGTTCATCATAATGCTCTGTTCGACAGGTAGAGTCCATAAATTGGACCTTCCTCGTGTTTCGTGTTGGCAGAGCACAGGAACGACCCGCTATCCTATCGTTCCTCTTATGAATAAATGGTTTTGGATGTGTTTGACCATAAACTCCTTTTGTTGATAGTACAGGCAAGGTAAGATGCTTGTTTACTGGAGGTTGATGTGAGACATATCCCAATTTAGTATTCTTTGATAATGTCCGTTGACGATCATTTGCATTAATAATCGTAAGTCGACTTTTATTATTTACCACCTTGAGTAGTGCATTAGTTAATAACATTTGTTTTGAATGAAAGTTTGGAGTTGGTTCAAATAGAGCTTCAGCAATATTATTCATAGATGATGGAATTTTTACATCAATACATTTTTCTGAATATGGTGGTAAAGTAATTTCATTGACTAATAGTACAGGTGATTGAAAATCAGGTGGTGTAATGAATGGTGCTGTTGCTACTATTCGATGGTATCGATCGATAAGAAAAATAGGTCGTTGTGGTGAATCAATAATAACATTGCTGTTTGAAATCCAGTCATTTCCAATTAATAAGTCTGTTATAAGATTTGTTGCAACATCTGCTAAGATTAACGTTTTATGTCCTTGTATTTTAATTTCAAGTTCAATTTCACCAATGATATTAATAGATGTACAATTTGCTGATTTGTGTAATTTTTGTTTATAAATAAATTTCTTGTGATAAATCTTTTTTAATAATTGTTGATTAATGATGGTGACTGCACTTCCAGTGTCAATAATAGCGTGTTGACATTTGTTGTTAACTTGTACGTTAATATATATTGGCGTTGATGATTGCGATGGGATCATATTAATTATTGATGGATTTATTTTCTTATTACTGGAATCATCACCATCACGGGTTCCAGCTAGTAGAAAACCTGCGGACAATCACGAATTCGATGATCGGATTGTCCACACTTATAACATCCAAATGCTTTTTTATAATAACAATCAATTGTACGGTGGTTGTTTCGTTAGCAAATGGAGCAAGTATTTGTTTGACGCGTTTTAATATTTAATGAACCAGTTGCTGTAACATTTTTTGATTTAATTTGTTGTGTATTGCGATGAAATGTTGATGATTGTGGTTTCGATGTAGATAAATGTTGTTGTGATGGTGATTGACGAGTTCGTGGTTGCGATCGATGTGTTTCATTGAATTTTGTTCGTTGTTGATGTATAATTTTAGATTCGTGTGGTGCAGTTGTTTGTAGAGAATACGGTTGTCCCACAGCGTTTGTATGTATATTTTCCTCTTGTCGTAATGTTGTTGATACTGTATTTGTAAAATATGGCATGTATGCTGATGTTGGTTCAGGTTCATGAACATTTTCTTTCTGTAATTCCTGTTCATCTTTTGCAATTTTTAAAAATGTTTGTGTGGTTTGTGATGATTCTGGTAACGATTTCATTTGTCGTTTAATTTGAATTTTTAATGAATCTTTAATTCCATTCTCAAGCCATTATATCATCATTTTTTCAGACATATTTGTATCATATTCATGACATAATTTAATAATCGCATCATAATACGATGTAACTATTTCATCTGGTTTTTGTTTACATTCTTTTAATTGTTCAAATATTCTTGATGATGCATCGGCTGTTGTGAATCTTTCCAAAAATGCTGATTTCAGATTTTTCCATTGGGTTAATGCCATATTGTTTTCATACCAGGGCTTGGCTTCACCATCTAATTTGGCCGTGCACATACAACATAAAATATTATTATTTGCATCAATCATTTTCCCAATTCGTTCGATGTTATTGATAAATTGTACAGCTTTTTGTTCTCCAATACCGTTGAATTTTTCTAAATTAGATAAACATTCGCGATAACATATCATCACTGCTGGATCTTGTGCGTTGTCAGGCATTGTTCGAACGTGTTGTGTAATATTATTTAAAAATTCTCGAATATGCTTTTTTACTATTCGTTCAGATGTTTCTGTTAATAGATCACCAGTTAATTCCGGGTTGAGATCGGCACTTCGTAGATTGTAAGCCGTAATTTATAATTTTAATGATTAGCAATATTAAATTGAATTCACTTGTGACCGGTATGCACATACACTAGGATTAACTCGATTGTATTCTTACCGATCCTCAGAGACAATTCCTAATGGAACTATCTCTTTTTGTATTAGTTGAGGTTCAAACAGGCAGTTCCTGATAGAACTACCTCTTCAGTATCAATTAATATTCGAGCAGACAGTTCCCGAGGAAACTATCTCTATCTTTAAATGAATAATGAAAGAGTTATTCACTTACTCGCTTTCGTCTTGGTTCGTATTTTATTATTGTAAAATAATAAAACGATCGGTCACACCACCAAAATGTTAGGGGAGCATCATCTGATTGAATTTCGATAGCAAGATAAAAGTGAATATAGGGTTCAGATCTTTTATTTAATATAAAAAAAGATAGAAGAATAACCAAGGATAAAGAGGTAAACACGCATATATATAGAGAGAGGGAAAAGAAAGACATGGACAGCAAGAATACATGATATCATATGAACAAAGAAAAATAATATCTCGATATGGCAATAACAAAGAATACAATAGGTGATATCATGTATAGAAAAGAAGAAGAGAGAGAGACAGAAAAGAAGAAGGAGAGAGAAAAAAAAAGATTGACCTACATATGTGAAGGCGG